CAATTTTCTACCCACCAGACTGTGTAATAATCTACATTGCGACTGTTTAGCTTATTTTTAAGAACTGGGTGCAACACTGTGCCAAACGCCTTTTTAAAATCTAAGTAAAAAACATTTACCTCTATTCCTTCATCCAAGGATTTTGTGACCCGGTCATAAAAAGAAATCAGGTTAGTCAAGCAGGGTCTGCCTGCTATGAACCCATGCTGGTTGCCCCTCAGCATTACATTACCTGCTAGCCCCTCACCAGTCTGATCCTTAACAATTTTCTCAAAGGTCTTCCCAAGGATAGAGGTGAGGCAAACCTGCCTATAGTTATCCTCTGGGACCTGTCCTGAGCGCCACAAGTGCGCAAACAGTTGTGCCAGTGGTTCCATTATGACTCCAGCTAATTCCCTAAGTACCTTAGGATGAAGATCTCAGGGCCTGTTGACTTAAATACATCCAACCCCTCCAAGTGCCCCTTTACTAGGTCAAAGGCAGAATTAAATATACCTTGATCATCCTCAACAGCTGTTTGCCTATCCTGCTGTTAAAAACCTGCAATGAAGGAGATTCCACATCCCTAGGTAGCCTATTCCAGTGTTTCACCACCCCAATTAACTGTTAAAAAGCATTTCCTAGTATCTAGCCTACATCATGTTCATTGCCAATTCGGTCAATTTCTTCTTCATCAAGTATATACTGGGATGCTGGTGCCTCCCTCCGTCTTCTCTTTCTGGACTATAAAAATCCAATTTCTTTCAACCCTTCTTCACAGGACATATTTTCTAAAATTTTTGTTTTTGAAGAAAGCAACATTTTTCTTAAAGCATTACGCCAACAACTGGACACAGTAGTCCACTTGAAGACTCATCGGGGTGAATACGGCAGATAATTACTCCCATGTCATATCTAAGGCACATTCTGAAACACATTGCCTTTTTTTGCAACTATATCATACTGTTGATTCCCATTTAAATTTGTAATGGACTAGAAACCCCGAGATCCTTTTATGGCATACCATTTCCTATTCTGTTATCCCCCTCTTGCATTTGATTCCTTCTCCATAAGAGTGTAGCAACCTGCCCTTACCTTTACTGCATTTTGTCTTGTTCATTGTGGAATCTCTCTCTAATTTGTCAAGATCATTTCAAACTCTGACCCTGTACACGAGCACACTTGGACGCTCTCCCAGCTTGGTATCACCTGCAGATTTTACAAGTCAATGCTCCATTCCACCATCCAAATCATTAATAAAAATACCAATTAGAGTGAGGCCCAAGATAGACCTGTACAGACCTACCTGAAATGTTCTCTTAGTCTGAAAGCAAGTCACTGATAACTACTCCAAGAATGATTTTTAGCCACCTGTGCACCCTCCTTATGGTGATTACATGTCCTAGATCACAGCTCCTTAGCTTACAAAAATGATAGGTCGGATACTGTCTAAAGCCTTACTTGAGTCGAGACAGATCGGATCTATTGCTTCCTTTTTATCCAGTAACTCAACAACCCTATCACAGAAGTAAATTAAATGGTTTGATGAGATCTGCTTTTCTTGTTAAATTGTTTAATATTTTGTTTGAGATGAGAGTTAAGCTGACAGCTTGAAAAGATCTTGGCTCCTTGCCCTTTTCCACTCCTCTGGGACCTCACCCATCTCCAAAAGCTTTCTAAGATGCTTCCTAATGGTGTTGAGTGTACTTTGGCTATTTCCTCAACTGCGCAACAATTATTTTGGGGAATTTCAGACCCAGCCAATATGATACTATCATACCGAAGTGCTCTTAAACCGGCTCTTTTCCCTGTTCTGGTCTATAATTCCATCTCTTTGTTAAAGTTCATTTTGCAAATCTTCTAGTCATTTTCGTCAAGACTAAAGCAAAGGAGGCACTGAACACTTCAGTTTGAATATTCTTAATGCAAGTCTGTCATTGCTTTAGTTGCAGGGTAAGCTTCTCCTCCCCCCATTTTTCCTCATGCTCCTGATGTCTGTTGACTAGACATCTCAAATGTTCAACGACTGCACCATTATTCTCACGCTTGTCTCTAAGAATAATGGTTAACATTACATGATCTCTTTCCCTCAAACACTTTATTCAATAATCTACACAACACAGTAAATAGCAACCCCCAAAACTGAGACATTAAGTGACTTGACCAAGATCACACAGGAGGCCTACTGCAGAATCATAAAATAACAGGACTCATCCTACTCTGTGAAAGCCATGGCAAAATTTCCATCAACTTCAATGGAGCATGAGAACTCTACATTCAGGTGCTCCATACTTTAAAAGAAAGCCATCTTCTCTACAGCACACAACCAAATAAATGAAAGCTTCAAAGCTATATTATGTTCCATAAATTGTAGAAACATAAGAAATATCACAGCAAACAGAAAACTACAATAAATGTGAGCACTGGTTAGAGAAAAATTCTACCAAATACTGTTAACTGGAAACGGATAGATTCTTTGAATAGAATAAAGTGAAAGGGAAAAGCAGGAACCCTGTTTAGGAGACACTGAAAAGAAATACTGGACCTTTACGTTGGTAGGCTAATGCCCTGTATACCAGTCGTGGAAGCATGTTGTAGAGGACAAGCACAAAATGCCAGCTACTACTGAAATATTAACATCAAAGCCCAAGATGAATTCAGGGATAAAGGTTTTCTTTTTAGTGAAGATACAGAAAAGCATATATTTAAAATCAGCAGTAAAGTACTGTCAAATGCAATTTCAGGGTTTCGCTATTGTGTTCAAATATTCTTTGGAAGTAGAACAATGAATTACTTGGATCATTTAAAAAGGACTCAACATTTCTATAATTAGGATACTGAGTCTTGGGACCTAGTGCCAATTGCTCCGTGCTAAAAAAGGAGTGACTCGCATTTAATACCTGTTCTCTCATTCAAAGGCTGTGTGTCCTGGAAAGTGTGCTCCCCTTTGGGTGGCATGCAAACTCTCTCTCACACCAGCAGCAAGCTGTTTGGTTAGCTAAGGAGCGGTGGCAAAGGACTGTCAGCCCTGTCAGGCTGAGGGATACAACTGCTCAGAGGTCACGAGGATACATAGAAGCTCCCTCCAGAATATGGAAAACTCTGGGGAAGGAGGCAATGGCAGCTGGGGATTGCATTTTCTCCAGAAGTCCTTTTAAGAGAGAGTAGCATTGTCTGTGTGAGATGCACCTCAGGTACAAAAGGCTGGGATAGGAGAAGATAATATACACAAGCATGTGCTCTTTACCTGTCCAGGCAGTGTGCGAAAGGTAAACTTGAGTGATCAACCTGTGCCTTCCAGGACCAGGATTTCGAAAGTCCGCTGGTTTAGGATGAATTAACTGTGCCTGCCCATCTGGATATAATACCTAATGGAAGTAAAGAAGAAACCACCAGAAGTTTGTTCTTATTAATGGCTATTAAACAGAATTTGGCTGCAGGTGTTTTGTCTGGCATTTCTAAACATATAATGGTGAATGCCAATGAGGGAATTGAATAGGGGATAGATCACTCTAGAAACATCCAGTTCAATACTTTCTCTCTATAGCATCCACTTCAACACTGTCAGAGACAGGATACTGAGCTAGATGGACCACTGGTCTGACCCAAAAGGCAAAAGTAGTTTTGGGATGTATCAATAGAAGCATTACATGCAAGACACAGGAGGTTAGGGTATTATGTCTATGTTGTGTCAGGGTTGATGCTAGGCTTATGTACAGTTTAGATCATGGATTTTATAGGATGGTTTGGATAGGGCTGA